GACATTTTTTACTAAAAGAGCTTGTTGGAAAAACAACTCAGTAGTTGTTTTCCCAATCGATATAAAATTCACATGAGACATGTTAGTGAAATATAATCGCGCTGTAAAAATTAACCAATAAAATAATTTTTATCTGCTCTTTATGTATTTTATCTATTACCTTTTGGTAAGACGTAATAAAAAATATATTTTTTTATATAATTTATGTGAAGAATTAGTAACCAGAGTGGATAAACCAGGCTGGTAACCAGATCCCATAAATCGGGGCAAACTGATATACGGTGAGGATGTGATGTGTTTCTCACTAAATAATGTTGGAAAACTGGAATAAACATAATATTTATATCTGTCGTTAAATGGCAGCAAAAAACAACTCTAGCTCTAAGGTCGTTTCATGTTTTACGGTAATCCAAAGTAAAATATTCGTCAAGGGCTTCTATTTCATTTATATAATAAGAAGATTCAAGTAAAATAATGTGAAGATAAATGGTAAGTAGTATGTAAAGTAACTGCAGATAATTTCATAAAAAATAGCAAATTTTACGATTTAGTGGCGTTTAGGTATATTTGGAATAGACCACTCTAGTTACCAACTCCCCATGTAATAACAGACAGTATCTGAATTAAATAGTTTTTTTCGTTATTTCCAATTGCATCAGTATATCACTACAACATTACACAATTTCCAGTTCTACTCACATTTGTAGTTACATTTTACAAAAAGTCTACATATAAGTTAAATGAATTTCCAAAACAGTACTTTTGGATTCAATATTCTCAATCGAACAGTTCTTGACTTTGTTATCAAAATGTTATGTAAATTTCAAATCTCTATATTACGTGACTAAGATAGCACATTATGAACAAAGGTGAATGACAATTTGTGCATTTGAACGCCAATACGAAATTAATAAAAAAAGTGGCAAATAATAACTAAGATATCAATATCCCATTAGTAACAATACTGCCTTATAAATAATATTTGTACTATATGTTTTCCTTATAAAATTCTGAATCACTCCCATGTATAGATATACCCCTTCGGTTCAGAAAAGATGAGCGAGCCCTTAAACGACGCGAGTTTATTCGCATATCAGGATTTTTCCTTCTCCTTGTAGAAAGTTTCTCAATAAATCTTATCATAAATAGGATGTTTCCAGTATAGTAGTATTCAAAGTTCTTTTAACTGCGAAGATACCATCCCGAGTCTCAATTCACTTCCCCCTTTTATTGATTTATAAAACTGGAAATTCAATGGTTCGTGTTAATAGTAAAAGATTTGTTTTTCTTATTTTCTGTTTTTTTATTTGACTCCGCACTCGCGTCGGCAGCATTACGGGGAGTATTGTATTCAGACGGCGATAGAGGCTCCCGATGTAATTTTTCATTGCTATGGCGAATGGACTCGGAATGAATGGTTAGAATAAATATTTAGGTATGAATTTATGTTATCACAGCTGCTTTTTCGTATAAATAATTCGCAGAATTCACTTTCAAACAATTACTAATAATTTGACGCGTGTTGCGGTGTGAATAACGAGGCGAATTATAAACAGAAACCTCGGTTACTAATAATTTTGTTTTTGTTTCAATAGCAATCAGAACTACTCATAATTACTTGTTCTATGAGTTATTTGTTTTGAAACTTTACCTAATGTTTCATGAGAGCAACCTGTCGGTTAAACATTCTCTCCTGTAAGTGGCGATTATATATAATATTGATAAGCGAATGTTGCATCATGCCTGCGAAGGACGATTTTCACTTGAGATTAGGGTAGAGATTTCTACAATGATGAATTAGCTGAAAATTTTACTGAACATAGATAGTTGGTTGTTTGATATGTGTTATTTATCGTAATAGAAATGGTTTGGTTTTTACAATATAATTGTTCAAAGTCAAATTGGACTTTATGCCCTGCCCTACCCTTGAGAAACCAGGAGATAAACGGTCATGTATCAATATTCATAACAAAAGTATTTTTTTTTGCTGGTAGTTTTTTTGGTTTTGTGCTCTTCTATTTAGTTTGTGGTACCTGAATATAATTTTCAAATATACTTTATTTCATTGTTTTATTGTTTCTAAATTAAATTCGACCTCTTTCTCTATTAAAACTTACATGTGGATGGGGTAAAAAAAAACAACTAAACACGGGCAAAGATGTAAACAATAGGTTAGCTAAGTTCAAAAAAAAAGTGAAATGAAGACCATATTTTACCATATTAAAATTATTAAAACTACTAAACGCAACGTATATCTAACTTTTCATAAAAGACTGAAGACCTTCAAAGTATTAAATTATTCCATCAATATAAGCTGCGTGTATAACGTATAATTGTGTCGCATACCTCAACAGCCCACGATAAATGCACATATTAAAATGACATAATAATGAATTCATTTTCCATTGCCTTTAATAATCCATAACATCAGAATGTTTTGACGTTAATAACTTTCGGAAAATTAGCAGAAAATAAAACTTAAAAAGTCATAATAGAAGGAGATGCAAAAATATAACAAAAATGAAATTTCTGCCATTTGTTCTTTCATAAACTAATAGTTTTTTCTGCTTATTTTCAATTTATTTTTTAATAGCTTCGCTTACTTACAGCATGAGCCATACCCACAACTTTTCTTTTTATATTTTATACTATCATTATTATATCATACTATATTTATATATCCTATACTATCCTATTTTCTTTATAACTGACTTCCTCATATTTTTTTCTTCTAACCTTGCTTCTTTTTCTTAACTTCTAATTCTACTCTATCTCAAACAAACAATGCCCATCTCAAATAACCATTCAAATGACAATTCCATGTCAGTGCCAGGACTCGAACCGAGTAACCTTGCGCGTAAGTCGGGCCATTCCTGCCAAAAACGTATCCACAAAGATCAATCGTAAACTTTCCATTAATTGAAAAAAATCAATATTAATTATTAATTTAGTTTTCAAACAATGACATCATTTTTTCAATAATTCTGGCATAATTCAATATTCCTTCTCGTGCTAACTAAGTACTGTGACTCAATCAGAAATACCGCCAAAAAAATGAAATTTTAATCAAAGTTGATATAAAATTTAAATTAAATATGCAATTATATCATATATTACCTTTAAGTTTTATTATCAAATTTAGAAATTTGATTTTGTATTTTAACACAAATCCAATTCACCAATAAAACTTAACACTTCAAGAAACACTAAACTATTTAACTAATTTTGTTTGCCAATATTTAATTAGCGAATTGTTCTAACAACAACATAAATATCCATACAATTAAGTTTATTTTAAGGCATCCTCCCATTTGAGAAAAATGTGTGTTTAGAAAGATGTTCTTTGTAAATAAATGTTATCAGAAAATTTCTTATCTTAAAAACCTGATAGCGATAGTACAATCTGTACAACTGGTTGCGCATACAGACACTGCATTGTTATT